TAAATCATAATCATTTGAACGTCCACGATGGTGCCACGTCATATCTTTAGCTGTGTGACGAGAACCATACAGACGCTTCAACCGGTCTGTTAACGAGAAATAACGTAGCACTTTCCACAGCACTTGTTTAGTACCCTTTGTCTTTTTTTTCTTCCAACGGGATGTTTTACATACGGGACACGTTTGTAGATCAGTGTTCTCCTTCCAAAACAAAGCACAATCGTACTTGCAAACATGAATTGTTTCGTAACCCAGTCCAAGTTTACTCATGAGCTTCTTTGACTCATAATGAGAAGAAGGTAACTTCACATCTGGGAATGCATCTTTCAATAGATTTAACAGAGTATCCATACACTCATTAGGCCACTTATATAACACTTTTAAATGCATCAACTTCACTAAGAAATTTAAAGATGAATACTTAATGCAGCCCGGACAATCCCACCTAGAGCTCAGAAAGTAGATCCTTAAATTCAACGTATTGTGCATCTTCTAGATCCACATGCGTCTCATCCAACATTTCATTGTCATCATTAATCCCAGCAACGTCTTCTAAGACTGCAAACATCTCGTCTACTGGTTGATTAACTATTGGTTCGACACCTGAAACCGCTTCTACTTCACCATGGTGAATCCATCTACTAGATGCATTTCATGGTTTCTACATTTCACACAAGGGCAACTGATATGGCCAATTGAAGTTGCATAATTTTTGGCGACGTCAATAATAGCAGATAACCCATTCTAATATTTATCCAACAATCGGTTCCTCAAATAAGTCTAACTTTTGTCAATCAGCATTTGAACTATAAACAACAACATACATAACAATTTATTAATGTGTTTAATTAATTTTAATTCTAGTCTTTATTAAGACAATTAAATTTTATTAATTAAAGTTTCTTAATGAACTTATTAAAATTCTTAAATCTTAACTAAATTTCGGCAGCATAGCGACTTATTTTTCATATGATCCAAAAATCAAAACCTGCAAAAAAATAACTTTAAAAGATTTTGGCACACCATAGTTGCAAGATGTGCCACCCAGAACAAGAATTATAAACATATACTAAATTTCAACAATATAAGAAAATCATAATTTAAATATTCTCATCATAATCTTGAATTCATACAACCAAAAACTAAAACAATTTTAAACTAAATAAATATAAAAACTTACAAAGTTCAAACCCATTAAACGGTGGCTGAAAATAGCAGGATTACGTCAGAGGAACTGTGCAAACAGTGACGGAGGTGAAAAATCAAACGCCTACACCAAAACAAAACATCAAACATAATTTTTAAACACTAAAATTAACATTTTATTAACATCTAGAATAACATATAGATACAATTCTTGATCAATTAAATCTCAGAACCATCAAAAACGACTAAACTCGAACAAAAATCCATAACATTTTCTATTTTCTATTTTCTTCTTCCATTTACTTAGCAAGTAACAACAATCTCTAACAAAAATCCCTAACATTCTTCGAATCAATGCAAATAACAACATGTACAAAATTTACAAAAAGAAAAAAAAAACTAACTAACCTCAAGGTTGGAAGTCTCGGTAGGGGTGGAGGAGGGGCGGCAGAGGGGCGGCAAGAGAGAGAGAGAAAAGGGAAGAGAGAGAGAAAGCTAAGAAGAAGGGGCGGGGGCGGGCCGGCGTGAGCTTGCCGTTGGGAGCGGGGCGGTAGGACGGGCGGCCGGAGATGGGAACAAGAGGGAGGGGGAGCGGAAGAGAGAGAGAGAGAGAAAGCTGAGAAGAGAGAGAAGAGGATAGAGAGAATGGAATAGAGAGAGAGAATGGAGGGCGGCAGGTGGCGGCGGCGACGGTGAGGAGAAGAAAAGGCAGAGATTGTTTAGAGAGAGAGTGAGTGAAATCGGGGGAAAATGAAGAGGAATAAGTTAGGGTATAATATATCAGACTTATTTACGACGACATTGTCGTCGCAAATAAATTTAAAATGCCGTCGCAAATACCCCACATCTGAAATTATTTGCGACGACATTGTCGTTGCAAATAAATTAAAATGCCGTCGCAAATACCCAACATCTGAAATTATTTGCGACGATAATATGTCGTCACAAATAATCATTCCACCGGTCAAGCTTATTTGCGACGACAAGGAGAACACATCGTCACAAATAGAGTGGTATTATTTGCGACGACATGTGT